GAACCCTTAGAATCCTTTTCAACTGAAGACCAAGCCCAGCCAAAAATGTTTTTCTACCTCCAGCTGGCTAGGAACCTTCTCCTCTCCCTCCTCGTTGAGGTCCTGAACACAGTGACTCATGCACTCATCACCTCCAGCCTAAGATATTGCAACTCACTGCATCTGAGGCTGAAGGTGGAAGCAGTGCACCGCTTGATGGACCACCAGCAGCATATGTGCTCCAGTCCCATGATGGGCATCCATCACTAGTCCAAGGCCTTGGAGAACTGCTCTTCAAAGCCTTTGATGGGTCAAGCCCCACCTGCATCCCAGTCCATCAACCACCAAGACACCTGCCCTCTTCAGGGTCAAAGCAGAGCACAAAGCCCAGTAGGAAGCCTGAGAACTGGAACCATTCCCAGCTGGTCAAACTGAGTTGAACTGACCTCAGAGTAGGTCAGACTAACCCAGAGCTTGGCCATCTCTCAGGACTGAGAAAGATTTCCCACCATAACATTTATATTTAGATATGCCAAGCACAGCTCCATATAACCAGGGAAGGCAGGAGACTCCACTAGATACCTTGTGCTGCTGATCTAATTTAGTTGGGAAGTGTTTAGTTACCGTGGCGGATGGGTGTAATAGAAAGACTTAATCAGATTTAGAGGAAACGGATTCCATCCGTTATTTAACAGGTGATATCAGAACATACGTCAATCCCTGCTGGCTGGAACGGAAAAGAAAAAAGTCACCAGCCTCCAAAAGTGAAATACAAATCATGTAAAGCCCTTTGCGTTGCTTCCTCCCACCGTGTCTGCTCTCTGTGGTTTGGCAAAGCTCATGGGCAGCCCTTTCATGTACCCACGCTGGCAAGTGCTCACCCACAGCTACAAGACTTGGGGTGGAGACTAAAAACTCCCGCCAGGCAGGTACTGACGGCAACACCTCCAGAAGCTATGGAATGAGGAAAACTAACATGAGCGTAACAGGTCAGCACTGAGGTGTAGTGACACAGCTAGCTGTGTTGGGGCCCAACAACAAAAGAGCAAGGGTGTGTAGGCTTGAATTAAGGTGCATTAGGTGTCCCTTGATGACAGCATCCTGTTATTCTGGTCAAACTAGAGCTGCCTAAATCACAGCTGTGCAAGGACCCATAGGACGCCAAGGGGTGCTGCAGGTCCAGGATTTAGATGGATTAACTGAGCTGTAGGGGCGTTGCAGGTCAGAATCAAGGTGCAATGGAAAAGCTGTAGGGGTGGCCGGGGCTGGATTAGCAGGACGTGCTCTGGGTCAGGTGCGAGATGCAGTGGCAGAGGTGCATGGAACAGCCCAGATCATGTTCTGAGCCTCTCTCAAAGTTCAGAGGTGTTCAGGTCTGGAGGCTGTGTTTAGTGCCATGTCTGGTTCATACAGTGTAGGGAGCTCTCCCTGCATCGGGTCCAGTGTCCTGCACTGGGCTGGCTGGGGGCCATTATGAGGAAAACCTCACAAAAATAAAAACCAAAACCAACCCAGTCCATCAACCACCAAGACACCTGCCCTCTTCTGGGTCAAAGCAGAGCACAAAGCCCAGTAGGAAGCCTGAGAACTGGAACCATTCCCAGCTGGTCAAACTGAGTTGAACTGACCTCACCGCCCCCGACCAAACACGCTTCAGCCAACGGGAAGCTGAAAGTCAGAGTGAGTGGGGGGCTGTTCTCGCCCATAGCCTTCCGCAGAGCTCATACCCACGGACCTCTGATAGTCCACTGCATTGTGCCAAAGGGCTCTCTGCCCTACACCACAGCCACTGCTGCTCCCTGCCCTGAACTTCTGCTTGGTACCTTCTTATAAAAACCCAGCACTGCCAAGCTGGCCTTTGTCCCATCAGTTTCCTCAGAGTTTACTGACGGAAGCAAAGAACTCAAGTGGCAGGTTCAGATTAAAAAGCAACGGTTGGGAGAGAAATAACCATGCCATGAGTAGGTCACCCCCCGTCTCTCTTAGGTACCTGTCTACCTCCCATTACCATAGCCTCCGAGTGCCTCACCATTGTTAGTATGGTTAGCCTCACAACACTTTTATTGGCTGAAGCCCAGGAGGGCGTTGGTGGACCCCGGGACTTTCTCCTCTTCACGTCATTGGCCGCAGCAGGAAGACTCAGCAACCGCCAAAAAAAAAAAGGCAGAGAGATCTGCTGCAGAGGCAGCCCCAGGGTTGTGTGCATGGTGGTGCCTGCCTCACTGGCAGCAGCAGAGACAGCTTCGAGCCGAGCAGCTGAGCTGCAGCAGCCTCCCAAGGTTGGAGAGTTTCCGAAGAGCTGCCTAGCACGAGGGGCCACGTTCGCCCGCCAGCGGAGCCGGTCGCTTTGTTCAGACCCCCTCCGCCCTCTCCCAGCAGAAGGAAAGACCAGCACCAGCTGCACTGCTAACTGCCTTTGCTGTCCCGTGATGTGTCCCGTCTCCAATCATCCATACAAAGAGAGCGGGCAAATGAATCCCACAAAGGAAAGGAGCTTTTTCCCCCAGGATCTGCAGCTGGCCTGTGAGCATCTGAGACCCTCTTCCGGTGCACGGTTAGTCCCCTTCCCCTTTCTATACCCCAGCTTCAGATGTGGCTGAAAATCAAACTATTACGGGAGCTGAGCCAACGTTGGATGAACGACTCCCTCTGCTGGCTCTTCCGTGTACTACTTGCCGATGCCATGTCCCATCAAGCCGCCACTTCCGGGTCCAGCCCCTGTCCCACCGTGGGGTGGGTGAACTAGGAAGCCACTTGCAAACACTTGGTAAGAATATGAGTGCATACAACTTTCCCCTCCCCACGCCCACCATTTCACAATAATCGGATCAGAACTTCGCACTGGGCCCCAAGTCACTCAGCCCCCAACCCAAAAGGGTTTTGGCAGCGCAATGTTCCATGCACAATGACAAGGGAGGGGGATGATTCTGAGCTAACCCACCCCTGTAATTCTACTGCTTTGAGCACCAGCCGCGAGGACTGTCCTCACCTCTGAGCAAAATCCATCCCCTCTGCAAAGGGGGGGTAGGGGGAGGAGGGAATTAGAGTCCAGGGGCACAGTATGATGCAGGAAAAAAAGAAAAAAATTTGAACCAGTGTTTGTTTAGCCAGGGTAAATGAAGACACTCTGGCCTGAAACCTGCTCTGAGCTCCACATGGGCTACCAGAGTCCCACCTGCACAGAGCAGTGGCAATGGCCACATCAGGGATTGATTTGCAGGAAAACCAAGCACCCGCACAGCTCCAACTGAAATCAATGGAGTAAAATCCACCCTGGGCAAACAGCCAGAGCAAGGTCTATGCACACTCCAATCCCACTCAAGCCATCAATATAAGTGGTGCATAGGCCCTGTGCCTGGAGAGCTGGAGCCAGAGTCAGTGCGTTTTTCCCTGGACTTGACTCGGCTTTCGCTCAGACACAGGGTGAATCCCACCCCGCATTGTGCCCAGCCCCTCTGGGGAAAACATGAAGTCCTGAGTTCTGCCCTGTGAAGATCACCAGAAGCCAATCTGGAGTAACAAGACGCTTTCCACTCTACCACACACGCAAGAAGGAGGAAGACTGCGGGACGCATGAAGTGTCTTTAATCCGAAAGAGGGAAAAGCAGACCAGAAGGATTAGTATAAGCCAACAGACAAAAAAATAAAATAAAAATAAAATAAAATAAACTTGTCTTTAAAACAAATTCAAATTCCATACAGTGCCTAAAATGTCACCTAAAAACTAAACATTTCCATAAAAAATGTTTGTTGTTTGAACACATTAAAACGCAGTGAAACAATGTGACAAAGGGGGGGGGGGTAATCAGACTAAAGAATTCAGGGTAGCTATTCTGCTCCCAGGAGTAGAGACTGGTTGCAAACACCACCAGGAGCGGAGAGGTGGTGGGGGCGCAGATGAAGTCAGGGACTGCCTTCCCCTTTGGTAGCATGTGGGCAAATAGGGATGGGATTCAGAGGGGAGCTCGCTGTGAGCCCGGGGTGCCAGGGAGAGGAGAAGGAAGGGAAGGGCTCAGTGCTCAAGCCCCAGCTGAAGCTTTGAACAAGACTGAAGCCCGACTGATCTTTTAGATACATTCCCAATTTCTCCCATCCATGCCTGAGTCAGCTGGTTTTCCTGGTGGGACCTTGATCGGCTTCTTCCCATAGTGAATTCTTGCCACAGGGGGTAAGTAACAGCCGAAGAGCTTAAGGAAATGCCGCAGCACTGCAGGAACTGAAATCCACAGCAGTCACCAGCCAGATGGCTCAGAAAGGGGGTGGGGAGGAAGTGCCCCATTTGACTCCTGCTTCCCCGATGCGGGGTAAGTGTGTTTCCCACATCAGAGTGGGGCAGTAATAGGTTAGTTGGGGTGAGTGAAATGGCTTGGCCTCCCACAGGCTCAATGGTAAGTGCTGGGGCCCCCTGAGGAGAGGGGGACTTGCAGGGGGGCTTGTCCTTGTCTGCTTTCACCTCCGCTGCAGGTTTAGAAGAGGTGCAACTTGATGCTAAGTGGTAGTTCTGGACTGCCGTGCTCAGCACAGCAAGCCAAGGGCACGGGAGCCCAGAGAAAGACAGGGCAGGACCCTGCAAAGGGCTCGGCGCTCACAGCATGGGACAGTAATGAAAACTGGACAACGGGGCATCTGCTTTAGGTGCTTCTGGTCTAATCCCACGAAGGCTGGGGTGGCTGTAGTGAATTTGTTAGCGGCATCGTCATCCCTCCCCCAGAAAGTCCCCTGAGATCAGAATTGAATTCCAGGCATGTTACAGACCCCACATATTCATCCAGAAAGAACACCCCAGTGCGTGCATGGACTCACATACAAACTACACTCCCCCCAGACGTATACACACACACACAACCCAGACACACACAATGGTAATTGAAAATAACCCTGTGCATGCACCGTTAGAGTCAAGGCTTCCTGTTTAGTGAGGATTTGTGCCACGACGCCTTTAAAAAGAAATTTTCCAGGCCTGAAAAGGTGCTCCAAATCCACAGGCTCTCCCAAGACCCCCCCCAAACCACCAGCCCCGAAGAGAAATTAAGAAAAGGAGCGTGGAAGGGACTAGAAGCCACACAGTATGTTCCTATCCCTGAGCCTCTTTGCTTCAGCCTGTGTTTACCAGAGGCTCACCTGAGGGGTTAATCCATCAGCACTAGGCAAAACAGCCCAGAAGCCTTCGTCTCTAGACCAGCGCTTCGCACGGGAAACATACTGTCTGGGTTTCAGCATTACAGTAGTTTTAAAAAATATTTATATATTATATACCCTAAAAAGGTCGCCACAGGAATTTCCATGTCTTTGTAAGGAAGAAGGAAAAAAATATTTAACCAAAAAAAAAAAAAAAATACAAATTACCGGAGCTGTTCAACTCTCAGGCCAAAAATAAAGATGTGTGTATCTCACAGGGGCCATCTCCTCACCTGCGCCAAAAAGGCCAGAAACATGGGTGGGTAGCTAAAAAACAACACGTCTGGTATAAATGTCGGAGTTCCACATGTTTGATGAAGTCCGTCTTTGTCCTTTTCTTAAAAAATATATATATACTATTGCTTTCTCGACGGCCAGGCAGGGCTCAGAGGGGGCCCTCAGTGGGGGAGTGCTGTCGGCTCAGAGGGGTTCGCTTTCTTTCGTCTCTTCATGAGCAAAGGGTTGGAGGAGTCTTCGATTTTCTTTATCTTAATTTGTTCGTAATCTACTCTCATGGTGGCCAAGGCACTCGTCATCTCCTCCTAGAAACACCAAGTAAAATACAGGGCCTGGTTAGCAATGGGGGCATCTGACATTGGTGCTAGAACCCCTGGGCTTGGGCCCATGCCCATGTGTGGGCCCATGTCCATTGTCCATGCCTATACACACGTGTATCCCTACCCAAGACATTCATAAATCCTAAGGCCAGACAAGACCACTGTGATCATATGACTTCCCGTATAGCACAGGTCAGAGACTTTCACCCAATGGTTCTATTCATATGTCATTGAACACACACATCATTTTAGAAAGGCATCCCAAGTTTGATTTTAAGTCTAGCGATGGAGAATCCACCACGTCTCTTGGGAAGCTGTTCCAGTGGTTCATTACCATCACGGTTACAAATCTGTGGTTTGTTTCCCGCTTTAATTTCTCTAGCTTCTAACATCCAGCCATTGGCTCTTGTTCACCCTATAATCTAGATCTTGTTCCTTGGACCAAATGATTTCACATACCACTAAACATTCATACTTGGTGGTCTGTGGCTCGGTTGCTAGTGGACAAGTAGCCCTTTCCAACACAACACCGCGCCAGCCGTTCCCCAACCTGATCCCTGTTACTATCCAACAGCGGTCTAGTGGTCCACAGCAAGTGAAATTAGCTGGTCGCCTCCATGCCGTTCTTCAGGCTCACATCACAGACAGAAACACCTTTATTAGCAGCCTCAGCAGATGTGCAGAGGATTGAAGAGGCCACAAAGACAATCATCCACTCATGCCTCCAGGTCAGGTTGGAAACCCAGCCAAAAAACACGCTACAGTAACAATACAGTCATTACTAGCGCAGCCAGGGCCAACACCACACCAAGGCTGCTGGCGGGAAAGAGAGGAGAAAAGGCTTTGCACGGCCACTAATCACGAGTTTACACTTTTTCTTTTTTTAGCGTGTGGATACAAAATTATTCCAGCCCTTTGATTTCACTAATTTCCTATTTCCAGGACTCAAATAGAAACGGGCTGTGAAAAGCAGCTCGTCCCTCCCAATACTCTCTTCTCTCCCATGCAGGTTCTGTGTACGGAAGCTTTATTAGCACTAAATTTAGTACAGCAAATCAAGGCCCGGATCCTGCAAGCTACTCCAGGTGGGCGCAGGGTACAGCTGGCAGGGGCCAGTGACCTGGCTCCAGTTCCCAAAGGCTCCCCGCAGCCTCGCCAAGCATGATGTTTATGTCCACTGAGATGAGGCACTTGGAGAGCAGGCTGTACCAGCTGTGCCTCCTGGAACAGAGGTGGGTCAGGGGCAGAAGCGATTCAGAGTTTTTACCTTGACGTCCTCCCACAAGTCTTTCTCTTCTTTCAAGACTCGACTAGTGTGCAGCGGCGTCTGGGGCACCTGCATCGATTGCTTTAGAGGGGAGGGTAAGAGAGACAAAGGATGAGCCTCCAATAAAAGTCCCTGCCGTCCCGCTTCTCAGTTCCAGCAGCTGCCCCATTTCTGGGGCTCTGTGTCTCACCTCTAGAAAGCCACGCACTTACCATGATCCAGGAGTGGTTCATGAACTCCGTTATCGTCATGCGCTGGGTCGGATCCGTCTTCAGCAGGTTCCGGATCAACTGTTTAACTGGAGAGGGAGATAGGGAGGTGTTAATAAAAAGCAGCACTTAGGATATATATTCTCCCCAAGGGTACGCTATGCCCTAGCAACCACCAGAACCTCTGCTGGTCTCTTTGGCCTGGTCTACACCAGGGATTTGCACCAGTTGAAGCCATGGGTGCTGTGACAGACTGATAGTATCTTGTAATATCCTGGACAAACCTTATTAAATAAGGGTTAATACCTTTGGAGTCCACTGTTATTAAACAGGGAATCGTGTGAATGTTATTGTAGAATTGTATGTACCTTCTCTAGGAGGAGAGGGATGCTAAAGTAACTACTCTCCTTATCAGCCCCTTGAAGCCACCCCCCTGGAGAGGTGCACCTATACTAGTCCTGACTGGATTCTCAAGGGACCAAGAAACAAAGAAAGGATTTTTGGATAAATAACTTCATTTTAACCAAGCTCAGGGCCTTCCTCCTGATCCAGCAAACAGACAGGCCCCCTGGTCCACAGAGGGCCCCAATCCTTAGTGAAGAGTAGGAAGGACTGGGCCCATCAGACTGTGTGCTTGTTCTACGCTGTGGTGAACTTGAAGCCACAAGGAAACCACTTGGTTGGGGTGCTGAAGGACTGCTCCTGCCAGAACCCCTATTTGGATTGGGGTGAACTCCGCTAAGCTTAATAGTAAGTGTGTGTGTGTGTGTGTGGTGGGGTGGGGGAGGGGGGGCAGGGTATTGTTTTTAACGTGTTTTCCCGGGGACATTTTTACCTTAAGAATTAATAGTAAGTGGGGGGGGGGGGTATTGTTTTTAACATGTTTTCCCGGGAACATTTTTACCTTAAGAATAAAAGACACTTGCATAAAAAGAGCTGTGTGGTGTCTCCAGCTGTGGGCAGCCACACTGTTAACCATCTCTGGAGAAAGAACAGGAGTACTTGTGGCACCTTAGAGACTAACAAATTTATTAGAGCATAAGCTTTCGTGGGCTACAACCCAAGACAGCTGTGCTTGGGCAGCCTGTCTCTGCTGGAAGTAACACGATGAAAGCAGGGAGCCATTCAGCCTGGAAATACCCTAGTCAGGAGGGAGAGAGACGCGGGTCCCCTCAAGAGAGGTGATGGCCGGGGGAGCCAGGAACCGGAGAGGGGGTGCCCTTGGAGGACCATAGAGGGGGAATATTAATGCAGCAGCCCTGAACTGTGACAGGTGCTAAGCCCTAGTATAGACAGGCAAAGCCACTGTTCAAATGGGATATACGGCACCAGCGTAAGTTACAGCTTCACCTGTCTACACTAGGGGCCTGCACCCGTACAGCTATTCTGCTGGCTGCAATAGGGCAAATCCCCATGTTAGGCAAGGCCTTGTTCTACAACTGGAGATTGCAGGCACGCACAGGCTGAGCTTTCCCATTGGGCATTATAGCTACACGCCTGACACGCCCCAGGAAAGGGAAACCACATTGCCAATATCGGAACACCCAGTCCCTTGGGATTTCACCGCAGGCGGTCCAGGCACGGCTTCTGCAATTATGTTCGGGTAGCGGGGACACACACGTTCATGGAGCAGACACTCTGCCACAGCTTTTACCTTCTTCGGACACTTCTGACCACTCAGGGTTGGGAAATTCATATTGGCCCATTCGGATCCGTTTTTTCATGCCTGGAGAAATGGCCAGACCGTGGTTCGAATAGAAAGGGGGATACCCACACAGCCTAAGCCAAAGAGAGAGAAAGTAATGAAGTGATCTGCAGAGGGGAAATCCTTTAGACTGCGTTAGAAACTTACTAGATCAAGTTTCCTTGCTTGTATTATAAGCTGAGGTCAGTTCTGGCTAGCTTGCCCAACAGCACCCTTGGATAGCTGAAGTGGGTTATCCCTACCTCTATGAGGGTAATGAGATCAATCTAAGAAAGGGGAAATTTTAGGCCTAAAACAAGAAAAACTCCCCAGCAGGGAGATCTGTTAGTCTCTGGAATACTTCTGCAAGGGGCGCGCGGGAACCCCATTGCTTTGCAAATAGGCCGGGCTGAGCACTAGACAGACACTGTACGACAGGGAACAATCCTGCACTGGCTTGGTCTAGAGAGACTAGGGGCCAGATTTTTAAAGGTATTTAGGTGCCTAAATATGCAGATAGGCACCTAGTGGGATTGTCAAAAGCACCTAGGCACCTAACTCCCAGTAATCTGAACAGGAATTAGGAGCCCAGGTGCTTTTGAAAATCCCATTAGACTCTTCTGTGTTTTTAGGTGCCCAAATACCTTTAAAAGTCTGGCCCTAAAGGTACGACTACACAGCAGTTAAACACTCACGGCTGGCACAGCTCAGCTGACTCAGGCTCGCGGGACTGGGGCTACGGGGCTCTAAAATTGCTGTGTAGACGTTTGGGCTTGGGCTGAAGTCTGAGCTCTGGGACCCCAAGAGAGGCGAGGGGTCCCAGAGCCCGGCTCCAGCCTGAGCCCAAACTTCTACACAGCAATTGATAGCCCCGTACCCCATGCCAGCTGTCCCCGGACAGCCACGGCCGTGCCGCAGGTCTTTTATTCCAGTGTAGACGTGCCCTACGTGACCCAATAGATTTGCCCCCATCTCTAATATTCATGTCATTTCACTGCTCTAGAGAGTCATTTGTCCTGGGTAGGTCTGGGTCAGTCAGCACGCACTGAACAGCAAGGCGGGGTCCACAGGGAACCATCCCAGGCTGGTGTCTTTCTGCAGTGGAGGAGGAGGAGAAGGAAGTCAGATGTTTACACATGCACCTAGTGCAGCCTTCCCGGCATGCTGCTTGGCCAGACTCCGGGAAAGGACATTGCATGTTTCACCCAGGGAGCGCCCTGCGAGCCTGCTTGGGGACAGATACTGAGAGGGTGGAAGCTGCAGCTCCCCTGGGTTACGCATGAGCGATGCTCATCAGGATGGTACAGGGGAAACCGCTCACTTACAAAATGTACATGATGACGCCCAGGGACCACATGTCACAGGACTTGTCATACTTCTCCGGGCCCAGCACCTCCGGGGCTGAGGAAAGAAAGAAAAATTCACAAGGCAGTCAGAGACATTGTGCAAGGAGGCTACGGGGTCAAACACAGAAGTGATGCCTCTGGAGGGAGGAGCTCTAACGCAGGCTGAGACCATGAGTTTGATGGACCAATCACCCCAATCCTGAGCCATTTGACAGTAGACGCAGCTTAGCGCAGTTGATGAACTGCTCCAGAGAAGCCCTGCTCTTGGAAAGGACCTAATTATATAGGTTTCCTCGCCACGCTGTGCGGGGGGAGCCAGGACTAGACTAGCAAGGGGTGCTACACATCAGGCCAGAGGGGCATTCACAGAGCTGTGTAGGGCAAGTGCCAGGAAGAGTCTCACGTGCCCACACTGTGAATTGCTTATACAATGCCCTGATGTGTGCGAGGTGCATTGCAGAAAGAGGAGATACATATGCCCCTGCCCTGCTTACCTCACCTGGCACGGGACCTGGGATGGCATTTGCAATACACCTGGCTATAATTGTCACCATCAGCTCCTGAGCAGGGACCACAGAGGAACAGATCTCCAGGGCATGTCTGCCGTCAAACCAGTCCCCTGGGTTGTCCAGCTGAGGAGTTTGGATCTTAACACGGCAGCAGGGCTGGGAACCCACAGCCTTTCCAGCTCTGGAGCCCATACCGAAACTTCAGATCCAAACACCCCAAAGCAATGGGACTGTCTGGATCAGAGTTCTGCTTCTCAGGCCCAACCCTACAACCCATTACAGCTATAGTTCAAATGGAAGTTATGGGCCTGATGCAGGAATTACTGGGTACAGTTCTCTGGCTTGTGTTATATACAGGCGACCAGACTAGATGGTCCCCTTCTGGCCTTACAGTCTCTGAATCCACAGCTCCAGGCCTTCCCCGCACAAAACAGCAGCAATACCGGAAGATTCTGGATGCCTGCAATCCCCATTCCCTGGAAGGGGGCGAGGCATCTCAGCTTCCCCAGCGACTTACCCACGTAGTAAGGTGTGTAGCACGGTGTGGCCAGGGAGTTGTGTGTGGTGGTTTCTTTAGCAAAGCCGAAATCGGTGAGTTTCAGTACAGTGTTGGGCCTTTTCGAGGTGTACAAGAGGTTTTCTGGCTGTGAAAACACAATGAATAAAAAGCAAACTAAGCGCTGGCCAAGTCCTCCGGGCTCCTACCTCTCGCATAGCCAGGGGCAGCATTAGAACAGTGCCAGCATGTCCGAGTCACTGAAGATTTGACCATGATCATACCAGCGGGAGCCATGTGGTTCGAACTTAGCCAGAGAGGATTCCATCCACCCCATTGCAGCTCAACTCTCGGCAATTTTCTGCCTGATTTCTCCCCCCCCACCCGGGCAAGACCTGATTTGTAACAGCTGAAGTGGGTCTCGTATCAGAGATCCCAGAATCATCCCTTCTCTCCCCACTCGCACCCCTCAGCCTTCCAGATCCTAGCTAGGTCCAGAAGCAGAAGTGTGAAGATATGGCATGGTTAGTGTGACTTCCAGGCCAGTTCTATAAACCCCAACACATTCAGGTAAGGATCTACAACTTCTGAGATGGGTTATAAGCCAGTGAGCGAGACCTGGGATATTCTGCAGAGAGCATTGTCTCCCACACCAATTGACACTGAAGAGCTAACAGGAGGGGTGCGGACATTGGCAGTGTGAAGTTGTATAATCAATAGGGAAGGGCAAGTCTCACAAAGCCCTTCCTGAACCCATCCCTTGCCCCAGGGGCTTAGTACTATTCAGACAACTTGCACTGATTTCCCCAACACAATTTTAGATCTTCCGTCTTCATGCTTCTCTTGACAGCGCTCTCTCCGCCCCTTCCCACACCATAATCTCCTCAACCAGGAAGCTGCATCTCTCAGGGAACTGCGTGCACCTTTGCAACTTGTAAATCTGTTGCCAACTGGGGGTGTTTAGCCCCAGTTCCCTGGGAAAATGCCAATCAAAGTAACTATATTCTGCCTCTGCAAAATTCCCCGTGGTTTCATTTGGACGTGGGACTCCTCTTCGCTTCCTGCCCGGGGCAGCGGTGTCGTGCGACTGCGGAACAGCTGCTGTGGGGTGGCTGCATTTCAGAGGTGGATGGAGGGTTTTTGTTTCTCAACGGCACCACACCCCAGTATACAAAGCTCTTTGGGATGACAGATGCTATATGAAAATACAAGACCGTATGAACAAGGAAGTCTTGCCTGCTTACAAGTGAATTCTAGAACAATACAAACCGCACCCTTTAAGAATTCTGCTGCTCTTACAGAAAGGAAATGCCATTTTTACAAGACCTCATTGTTTCAATGGACTTCACCCTATAGGGCAGGGGAAATGATAAGGGCCAGGTCCACACACCAGAGTAGAGGAGACTTCAATTTCAGCAAGTTATCCACTTCCCCCTAAGCCAAACCAGCCACCATCTCACCGTCTCCATTATGGGCTCTGATTGATCTCTGCAGGTAGCCTGCAATGAAACCCAAAGGCCAGCCGGAGCTGAAGTGGGTTGGCGTTTTCCCCAGCTGACCTCTGCTTTCACGGAGGTCGTTCCCATAGACACGTACAGAGAGATGGTGCCCAGACCGAAAACCTATGGTCCAAACACCCCCACGTTGGAAGGGTCCAGCTCCTGATCTGAAGTGTCACGTCCCCACAGTGACGGAGGCAGAAGTACAAGAGCACAGTGGTCAGCTCTTGTTTGAAAGGAGCCAACAGGAGCCATGAGCCGCACTGCTCTTCCTCCCCATCCCGCATTCTCCTGCCTTTCAAAAAGCACGAGTTATTTGAGGCCGGTTAACCTCAGTGGGCCTCTTAAATGCAATCTAGGGAGTGGCTGCAGCACTCCTCTGGATTGTACAACGTTATGTGGGCCAGGACACTGGGGGTCGTGCAAGCAGAGGGCCCTCCGCTAGGGGCAAAGACCTTGGAAACACTCTCTAGCATCCGCTAGGCGCGCAGTACCTTCACATCCCGGTGTGCTATGTTAATCGAGTGCAAGTACTGGATGGCTTCTCCAATGCTCTTCATTATTTCTGAAGCCTCTAGAGGAGTTAAAGAAAATTTAAAAGTATTTAAACCTCAGCAATTCAAAGTAAAGCCACCCCCAAGGTGATACAAGTGCATCCCTAAAGGCAAGAGCTGGAGAGCACCGCAGAGAAACCCTCTGAGAGTCAGAAAGCAAAGAAGCTCTTGTGCCTGAAGTCTCCCTTTCCGAGCAGGGTTCTTCACATGGGACCTGCCTGCGAAGAGAGTAGACCTGCTACAATCACTCCCAATAAGAGCGATTTGGGGGAGCACCAGCCACTGGCTTTGACCCTAGACTGTTTAGTAGGCAGTCAAACGTCTGGTTGCAGAAGTTCCAACCAGCTCTAAGGCAAGACATTTTCACTCAACCAACATAAAACAGCCAAGGGGTTTAAAAAAAGCCTCCGTACCCCGTTCCGTGAAGGCCTGGTCTCCCCTATCTTGAATTCGACTGAAGAGCTCCCCACCATCCAAGCTGAAATACAGAAACAAGTGGAGTTAAAGGTCTAGCCGCTACCTCCCCCACCCATCAGGCCTCTCCAGCGGGCCTTCAAAATCCTCACTGATCATTCCAAGCCAAGCACGGCCAGGAGTCGCTGCCCCGAGCTTTGGGGAGAAGCCCCAATACACATTGCAAGGGGTGAGAGATCTTGCAACATTTCTGGCTTTGTTTCCAAGTTCAGGGAGATTAACCTCCCTTCCTCCCATACCCCGCCTCCAGGTTTGCCCCTTTTGCACCCCCTCCATTTCCAGGCCTCTCTCCCTTCTCCAGAAAGCAGCCAAGAGAGACTGCATAGCAGAGGACTCCCTCCGCTGCAGGCAGGCAATGGGCCAGCACCTGCGGATTTCCTGGCCACATGAGAGCAACCGTACAGAGGCACCTTTACAATAAAGAGAACAGATTGCTCTAGAAACGCCGAAAGTTCCCAGCCTCGCTGGCCTACTTTTCAGCAAAAGCCACCGGAGGTACATTCAACCACACAAGCAAGGAGGCATTGAACTCAGAGTTCCACCCAGCCTGTGCGCTCAGGTCACACCACAGCACAAGCTCCTATGCCAGTCAGTCACCTGACAAGCTGGGTGGCCGGCAGTCGGCAGACTGACTGAGCACAAGGGCAAATGGGACAAAACACAGCAGCACCCTGGTGCTCAAAGAAGCTCTGCCCCCGGCAGCTCCCACTGATTTCACAGACCCCAGGCCTCAGCCCGGGGGCGTTGGTCTCCCTGAAGAGCTCTGGCTTTTGAAGCCACTAGCCCAAGTTATGCAGAGTGAACGATGCAGCTAAAATATTTGAATACAAAACGAACTTCGGTATTCCTCCAACAGCCAGATGGATACAGAGGTCTTGGGGCTAAAGCCCTGGCTGAGGACTCAGTTCCCAGCTCTACCAGACTCCTTGAGTGACCCTGAGCAAGCCACTTAGCCTCTCTGTGCCCACGCTCCTCATCTACAGGAAACGAGGTTTCCTCTCTTTGTCTTGTCTAGCTCTTTGGGGTAGGGACTGTCTCTTGGTACGTGTCCACACAGCGACTAACACAATGGGGCCCAAATCTCGAACAGGCTTCTCGGCACTATCCCCGATACAAATAACGAACATGGAGCCGAGCTATGTGATAGAGGGTACAGAAAAGGAGAGAGAATTTGTGCCCATGCTAAGAGCTTCACAGCCAAGTACTGAGTTACAAACGCCCCGGATCTGAACGGAGACACGAACAGACCTGAGTCACAGGGATGTATGGGACACTGCAACCGTGTCTGTTTCCTCTCTGGTTACTTTCCATCTTATACAGGGCCCATCCTGGCAGTATCTAAGCCTATTCCAGTCCATCACGCTCAGGCTAGCTTTAAAATAGCAGGTGGCTATTAAAGCAATGCTTCAACTGGTTTCACACGCGCATTTGACAGCACAGTGACCAGCTTCCTATTGTTCATTCAGACGTCGCTGTCTCCCCACGTGTACAGATGAGCTGCTCAAACCTTCTCTGCCTGCGGACACCCAGGATCTCAGCACGAGTGTCGGAAGCATCTTCCCACACAGAGAACTCAGAAAGCTCTTGCGCAACATAGCAGCAGCCTAACCTTTGCAAACCCTGAACTGCTCCTCCGTCTCCCCCTCCCCGCCCCCTGACAACCTGTTGGCCTCTGCCACGGGAGAGGTTTTGGCAAGGAAGCTGCATTAAAAATCACAGCTGCGGTTGGGATGTGGTTTCGATACTTTCCCCTTCATTCCTCCCTCCTCGTATCAAACTTCTGAGAGCACCAGACTCGCTCAGACGTTGCTGTGAACACCAGCCTGTCACTCTCTTCCCTGCTCTTTGCCGGTGGTGTACCCCTGGTCTGACAGCCACTGCTGCCCAACGACCAGCTCAGCCCCACACATGACAGCACGGCTGGCACTTCAAAAGTTACCAACACCTTTTTCATGGCAAAAGCAGGTCTGGTTTATGAAGAACTCTTTGCATGTGAGAATATGATGGGTTCTGTTACAACAAGAATAAGGATCCATGGGCCATACGCCTGCTTACCTAGCTACAGGTTTTCCAAATGACTCCACAACCAGCAGCTCACACTCCGGCCCCAGTTCTGGGTGCTGAGCACTTGGGAAATCTGGCTCTTGAATGCCGAACTACTACATCTCTCAGTGGCTTTGTTTTTCCCTGATCATAGAAGGCCATTTCCCCCCTACCATCGCCGCCTCAGTCATTACAAGAACTCCCCCTACACACTGAGGTTAGAAATCAAACAGCCCCTTCCCACCTCATACATAACAATTCTCAAGGGCTATAATAAAACATATTGTGCATTTCTATAGCAAATTCTGTTTCAGTTCAAAGATCATAAAGCATTTTATGAACGTTAAGGAATATTTTCACGCCGAGAGGTGAATAAGTATATATATATAAAAAAAAACATATTACAGATGAGGAAACTGAGGCACAGAGAGGTAAAATGACTTGCATAGAACCACCCGGGGTGTCAGAGCCCAGGAGTTCCTGGCCCTCAGCCACGTACTCTGACCAATACACCGTGCTGCTTTCAAAATGGTTGAATTAATGTGATGGCAGGGTCAGAGGTAAATCCTGTGAATCCATGGGACATGGCCTTTCCAAAAGGCACATGGCCCAGCCTTCAGCTACCGATACTTAGAAGTGTTGGCGGCCAATCATTCACATGCTCAGAACACACATGGTATGAGGCACTGGGAGCCTGGGCACCAGTTCTTTTTAGATGATCCTTGATATCCTAAGATTTCCCAGGCATTTTCCACAGATCTCTAGAGCGACGGCCTCCCCTGAGAGAAGTGAAGCGGTCAAGTGGGAGGAGGGATTTGGCTCGTTTCTTCTCTCACACAACACTTACCACTCCATGATTATAAGCAGGCATTTCCTCCCCTGGTACAGGTTTTCATAGACATCAATGATCTTTACAATGTGGGCACACTGAGATGCCCTCCAGTGGAGTTCGACTTCCCTGCGGGCTTTGGGGCAGTCCTGCAGCATCTAAAAGAAAGAAGGAAAATTCAGTCTTTTCTCCCTCATGCAGCAAAATTTCCAGAATCACAATTTTGTCCAAGACACTTGAACAAAAGGTTCTGGATTCAAAAGGTCTGAGATGTTGCCATAACACCATGATATTCTGCTAATAAAGCTTTCATGTGATCTCTATTAGACCTCTGCAGATAGATCAGGGAAAGATACAACTAGGGGCATGAAGGACAAAAGTAACAGAGACTGATGCACTCTCATCCATTATTATGCGGTATGAGAAAACAACAGGTGAGTTAAGTCTAGCCCTATACAATGCCTGGAGCGCCATCTAGTGGAGGATATATGCAATTCCAGCCATTTGGTTTCTCGCCAACGCAACAGCTATTAGAGGTGTACAGTTGTGTCAAGAGCATTAATTCCTGCTTGAGCGTAACTTGGGAAATAGGTGTCCTTAAATTAACCGAACTTGCAAGTAAAGGACGTCTACACTAGCAGCAGGAGGCCTGCACTTACTACATCTTTAGATCGACAAGGAAATAATAATCGACACTCTCCAGGGAAAGCCAGACCCTGCCTTAGGGGTTAGTTAATTTTTATTGGGAATAGACACTGCAACTGTTCACACCCAACAAAGGCAGATGACAACGTTACCCTGGTACGTTCTGCTTTCTCTCCCAACACTTAGCTGTGAAGTCAGGGCCAGAAGTGCCACATCTCAGCCCACCACTGGGCCGCATCGCAGGATGGGTGCAATGGGACCCTTGGTACTGAGCGTCCGTGATGAAAGGACAGGATAAGTCAACTCACACGCAGGGGGTAGGGGTGACATTTTGGACAGCGCTTCCCTGGCAAATAATTTGAATCGCTAATTCACAAGGCTCCTCCTCTGGGGTCCCAGATCAGAGTCTACCCCCCACCCCCCGCGCTTTGGCAGAGGGATGCTCAATGCTCCCTTCAACGACCCCACACATGCAAGGATGGGGAGGAGGAGGTTTGCTTGAGCATAGTATGCAACACCCCTCCCCTTTTGGAGGCAGAGGAAGCTACCTCCACCGCATTCCCAGCCTGTCTGCTCAGGGAGCAATACGCTCTGCCTCTGCTAGCAGCAGACTTTAAGGTTGGCCAGAAAAAAAAATCATTCACATAACATCAGCACCTGACATATTAACGGGGTTTACGGTCTGTCCATCCATAGGACTGATGGCCCTTTGACACCCATCCCCTCTGTGCAGCACACGCTGCATAAATGGAGTCCAGCAGAGAGCAGCTGTTTGCATTCTCTGGCAGACGGTGCCATCTAGTGGCAAAAAGTGGCTGCATAAAAATTCTTGCCATTCTGTTGATCTGAAGTACACACAAGCACATGTAGAGGAGCTGTTCATCACGTCACTCCCAGCGGCCTGAGCTTTGTATTGGTCAAAGAAATCAATCTACATTATAAACATCTGCAGAATCGTAGTGAGGTGTTTTTTTTAAGTCACGCTTTGCACTTATGCCGCACACCTTTCCCCTGAGGAGCTCAAAGACCCATACAAACCAGAGCAAGCTAAGGCTATGTCTACACTACCAGAGTAAGTCAACCTACGCTACACAACTCCAGCTACGTGAATAACCGCGGAGTCGGGGTGGAGTACAGGGGTCAACTGGAGAGTGATCTGCAGTCGATTTGGCAGGTCTTTACTAGATCTGCTAAATCAACCGCCAGTGGATCGATCCCCACTGTAGTGTAGACCTGCCCTCAAGCCTCATCACGCTTCTTTGAGGTATGCCACGATCATCATCATCCCAATCTTACAAATGGGGAAACTGAGGCATGGATAAGAAAAGTGATTTTCCCAAGATCGCACAGTGGGTTAGTGATACGTGGCGGATGGTTCACACTTCTGACCTCATGAAACAAGTTTCTCTGCTGGGCTTATTCAGTCCATTGGATCCAAATTAGAGCAATGTTACAGACAAATCAACAGTAAAGGCCAATTGATAGATACTGAATCCATCAACTACACCATTAAACACCTGAAAAAAGGTACAAAAAAAAAATCAGAGGAGAGTATTACTATTCAATGACTTGAAAGGTCATCATGGATTGGTCCATTTAGGATCTTGCTGAGTTGCACGAGTCTGGTTTCCTTAATTACATCAATTTACCCAATAATTGCTCTTAATAAAATAGTTCTCTGGAGCACATTAACTAACTTCCTCATCCAATTACTGTTATTGGAGCACTGGCTACTGAAGGACATTGGCTAAACGTTTCCCTTCATGCATTTATGAGGCTGGACCTAGAGTGGTGGAGGGGAACTATGCTTTTGGTACATAGGGAACTGCGCTGGCATCCACTGAAGTCGAAGGCAAAATGCCCCATCAGTTCAGTGGCAGAAGTATCAAGCCTCTACATAATAATTAGAGCTGGTTATAAACAGCAAAAAATGCTAGTGTGAATTTAAATTATTTTTATTGATTTTTTCAAAGTTTCAAAAATACAGCAACGAAATATTTTGATCTCTGAAAAATTTAGAGCTCTATGGCTGGTTAAAAAAAAACAGACACACACATACACCAATGAAAGTTTACATATCAACATTTTCCAAGGGGTTTGTTCTAGTCAAAAATTAAAATTTCCAATTCCCATGGGACCTTTGAGCATCTGGGCCTGTGTGTTCAGTGCTACTGCTGATGTTTCCCGGCTTAGAGGGACACAGGCAGGTTAACCATGCTTTTAAAAAACAAGCTTCTTTATCTGTGTAACTAGCATCACCTCAGATTATTAGCAGAGCAGGGCGTAAGACCATACCTGCTTTGAGCAGTTCTGCCCATTAACTATAACAGCCTGCTACATTCTCACAGTTAAGTGGGAGATAGCAAGGTCCACTGGACTGGGAGTCAGGAAACCTGGGTTCTTCTTGACTCAGTTGCCGTGAAACCTGGGGCAGGTCCCTTTGAGAGATGCAATGACATGTACAGTCATCTAGTGGAAGTGATAAATGCCTCAAACGCTGCCAAGGAATGGCAGAAAGAATGAAAAGTTTGGAAGGGGAGGGAAAGATTTAATTTTAATTTTCTGAAGCCATTTTCTATTGGAAATATTAGCAATTACAGATGGGACGTTTGAGAGGGTTCCTTTAGCTGCTATGGATCCCTTTAAAGATTGCTACGCTGGATGTGGAACATTAAATATCCACAATTAAGAGCCCTGGGATATCCCAACTGGGTGCTATGGACACCTCAACCATACAGAATTCATGTTGGTTGGGGAACATGCACAGCCTGAGCTCACACCTCAGCACCACACAGAAAGCCCATTAGCTACACCTCCCCCAGAGATTATAAAAAAAACCATCCCATGCCCGGGGAAGACAAAATAAATAAGCAAGATTCTCTCTAAATAGTACGTTTCTCAGCTTTTCCAGCAGGAGACAACAGCTCTTTAAGGAGTCCCCTGACTTCCACAAAGGCTCCTCACAGCTCTCCGGTGCTGGAAAGATTTGCTAGTCTGCCAGAGTCTAGTAATTACCATGTTTGTCAACATAAACAGCCTTAAATACATGCAGCGGACTCCTAAATACAAGACAACAAACGTGTCTTACACAAAGCCACATACCCTCCCTCCCTGCCTCCAGCAAGTATTTCAAGGCTCATTGTTACGTGCATGCTGTTAAGTAGACTGGATAGTTGTCTCGCTGATTCTGCATCCAGGCTCTTGTTGGGGTCTGCGTTTCAGTTTAATGGCAAAGTTTAGCACCAGAGCTGGGCAACTCAGGCAGAGAGGTATCTACCTACCCTTTCCTAGGAAACTCACCATGTGTGGACACTCAAATGCCAAGCTCAGCTCCGTTCAGATTTACACGCTGCCCATCTAATTTTATCTCCTTCGGCAGCCCATGGCCTCAGATCGAGAATAAAGGCATAAGCTTCAGGCAAACGGTGGTTTGGAAAGGCACAAGCTAGAACAGGGGTCCCCAACGCGGTGCCCGCGGGCGCCATGGCACCCGCCGGGGCGTCTAAATGCGCACGCTTACTGGCCGGCGGACGAGCATCCGCCGAAATGCCGCTGAGAAGCAGCGTCATCCAGAGGCGTCGCTGCCGAAATGCCACCGATTTTCGGCGGCAACGCCTATTGACGTTGCCACTTGTCGGCGGCATTTCAGCGGATGCTCGGCCGCCGCCACGGTCCTCCGTGGCTCATCGTCTGGCGAAAAAGGTTGGAGACCAATGAGCTAGAACATCAGTGGTGTACTGGTGTGTGCTTAGGTGTGTAGCAGCAAGCCAGACTGTATTACACCCTTAAGGGAAGAGACTCCCTGTGGGGGATAGAACAAGGTTAGGGACATATTCTGGGACTTTTCTTTTACCAGAAAAAAAAAAGCAATTTTGGCTTCATTTTACAACAGGAATAATAAAACTACCTCCCCCACTCCCTCTCTCAGCCAATACGGTACAGTTGGAGAGGGCCTGCATCCAATCAGTTTCCCAGGCTCGAGCCAGCCTCACCAAGCTGCACCACCTCTAGCTCTTCGGCTCACGCATGGTCGAAAACGATGTTCTAATCTCATCCAGGTTTCCTCAAGCAAGCCTGTCAGAACCGCCGAGAGGCCTTTCAGTGCTAAGCTCACCTACAGACTGGGTCATGAGCAGCGACTCACACCACCAACAGAATAACCAACTCCGGCCACCCTCAAGGCAAAAATGGCACCCTGGGCTTGAAGAAGGCTTAATTATTTTTTTCACAACACTTTTGGAATAACAACGATGCACTCCCGTGACGGCTTTCATCCAAAGAGCCAAAAGACCTTTGCCAGGTTAAAGCCAAATATCACCCCTCCACACACAGACAAGCAGCAGCAGTTATCCCCCACTTTACAGAGGGTGATACCAACAGCACATAAGGCAGTGTGGTCTAATGGACAGCGCATTGGACTGGGAGATGGGAATCTATTCCCAGCTCTGCCACTAACCCTCTCTCTGTTCCGCCGTTTCCCCTCCCACTCTCAGTCTGTCCTGTCTGTTTGGAT